TTTTGAGACAGGGTCCTGATAAATTGTGCAGGCTGGCCTTAAACTCCTCCTGCCTCAGCCTCCCAAGTCACTGGGATTACAGGTGTGCACCACTGTGCCTGGCATCTTACATACTTTGAATTAAGAGAGATTGGAAAGCCTTGGAAGCAAGGCTTCTTTCACTTCCTGTCCTCCTGTTTCCCACCATCTTTCTCCCCCTATTCTCCTGAAGTCATTCATAGAAACCAGAATTATTCATCTTTAAGAAAAGTCATAGATACTAGAGCCTCTCTATCTGAAAGTGAGCCCCCAAACCTGGAAAGGTCACTCTGTCTGCCTTGAAGATCCTCCTTCCAGGGAAGTTCCTCCCCTTACCCTGGAGAAAGGACTGCTACACAGAGAGGCCAGGAAGCATCTGGACAAGGCTTGCTGGGTTTCTCCCTATTACAGCATACCCTATTGTCTAATTAATTTTCTGCATGGCTATCCATTCTTCATTAACCTAAAAAATAGTTTTCCCTGGGTCTTCATTTTTGAAGTCTTCTTTGGTTAAATAAAATTGTTGTGCCTTTTTCTTGTTATTGAGGTGTCATCCCTGACCCTTGTGATAGATGACCTTCAACAGGCAGAACTTATGAAACTGTGTCTTATGACTTGGCTGGGTTTGTCACTAAGGCTTTTCTCAAACCTTTTTAGAGTATATAGCCTTTTATAGAGTTTATAAGAATCCTAAGGTGACACTGAAGTAGTGGCCCATGCCTATAATCCTAGTTTGGAAGGCTGAGACAGGAGGATTACAATTTCAAAGCCAGCCTCAGCAACTTGGAAAGATCCTGTCTAAAAATTAAAATAAAATAAAGAACTCCCCCACAAAGGGCTGAGATTATATCTGAGTGGTTAAGTGCCCTTGGGTTCAATCCCTGGCTGATGCCAAAAATCATCATCATCATCATCATCATCATCATCCCAAGGTGAGAGTCTGGCTTAGTGGTAGAACACTCATGTGTAAGGCCCTGGGCTTGATCCTCAACAACACACACACACACTCAGAATTCCAAGGTGGAATTCCAAGGTGGAGCATAGACTGAACACAGCCCAAGCATCTACTAACTGTTGTTTGTTGTGGCAGGAGGTATCTCTCCTGTTTCATTACCTGTCATAGGTTTAAGTACTACTACTCTAGGCAATTCCTGTCTGCTGGATCTCTCCCGGTTGCTAGACCTAGGGCCTGATACTCTTCTTCATGAGTATGATGTTAAGAACTGCATTGTTTCTGCCACTTTTGTTTCAGGGGATCTTTGCACCATTATTTAGTGGAGCACCTGACTGCTGAGACATGAAGAAAACAAAGATGTAAAATGATACCATCAAAGGCACTGCAACCTGATCTATTTCTTTCAGAAATTTCCTTTCTGCTGTCACTTAAAGTAAAAAGAGCACCCAGATCTTCTTGGCGTTGGTAGAGACAGAGGGCCACCATCAATTAGGTCTTTTTTAGGCAGATATATTCCAGATACATCCAGTACTAACAAAAGTGTAGGGGAACTTTTTAAAATCACTAATGGTTGATAGGCCAGTTTATAAAGGTTTTCCTGACAAAGCAGGTTGGACAATACTTCTGTTTTTTTTTTGAAGCATTTGTTGCCGGGCACGGTGTGCATGCCTCTAATCCCAGCAGCTCAGGAGGTTGAGGAAGGAGGATCCCAAGTTCAAAGCCAGCCTTAGCAATTTAGTGAGGCCCTAAGCAACTCAGTGAGACTCTATCTCTAAATAAAATACAAAATAGGGCTAGAAATGTGGTTTAAAAAAAGTATTTGTTAGCTCAACTTCTGTATTATCCCACTACTTTTTTGTAACACTCATTATATCTGGACAACTGTAAGTTCAATTGTCTGTATTCTATTGGGAGTCTCCAGATTCTATTAACTTTTCCTATACAGAACTTCAGATATCCAGAGAGTTAACTGGAGGGGGTGTTGATACTGATGGCGATTAACCAGTGGGTGTACAGATGTTCCTTGACTTACAATGGGTTAGGTCCTGATAAACTCGCCATAAATTGAAAGTACCATAAATCTGTGGTGCACTTACTACACCTAATCTACAGAAATAGCTTAGCAACCCAGTGCATTATGAAGTATCTGGTTGTTTATGTTGTGAGTGAATGGGAGCTGCAGCATCCTGAGAGTGTATCATAGCCTGGAAAAAGATCCAGATTCAAAATTTGAAGTAGTTTCTACTGAATGTAGATGGCCCTGTAAAGTTGGAAACTCACAAGAAGAGCCACTGTTTAAGTTAGGACTGGGTAAGTTTCCCAGGACCAGCAAAACAAATTACCACAAACCAGATGGATTAAAACAATAGAAATTTATTCTTTCACAGTTCTGGAAGCTAGAAGTGTGGAATCAAGGTGTTGGCAGGGTCATGCTCCTTCTGAAGCTTCTCAGGGAGGACTCTTCCTCGCTCTTTCAGCTTCTGTTTCCTTCTCAAGTGTCTCCTGTTTTATGGCAGCTTAATTACAATCTCTGCCACTGTCACACATGGTGTTTGTTCTCCCTTATACCATTGAAAAATATCTATACAAGTAGTTCTTGTTTCCTAATACACTGGACTCCCTCAGCACCATGCCTTAAGGTTGTGGATTCTTTCACAGACTTCCTGTAGGAGATATCTTTGAGTGACTACTGTTATGGTTTGGACTGTGACTATCCTCTGGAATCTCATAAGCTAAAGGATTGGTCCCCAGCCTGTGGTGCTACTGGGAAGTGGTGGACCTTTTGGAGGTGGGGCTTAGTGAAAGTAAGATGGGTCACAGGTAATGTGCTTTTGGAGGGAATATTAAGGCCCTGGCCCCTTCTTCCCTCTTTTTGTTTCTTAGTCACCATAAGGTGAACAACTTTGCTCCACCATGCACTCCCACTATGATGTACTGCCTTGCCACAGGCCCCTAAATAACTGAAACCTTGGAAAATTTATCTTTCTTCCTTTTAAGTTGTTTATCTTGGGTATTTTGTCACAGTAATGGAAATCTGACTACTCATTCCTAGTGTACCCAGATTTTTGTAGAGATACTCACTTTTCTTTCTGTACACCATATACTCCTGAGGAAACTGAACTCACCCTGCTCCAAAAATGGACTTCATTTATTAAAGGGGAATTATTAGCTCTCTTGTCAGTGATTGGTTCAGGAACTAAGGCCTCAGCCTATCAACGTATAACACATTTCTGGCCATAGAATTTGTTCCTAGAAAGGCTATATGACTCAGAGTAAGGCAAGTAGAAAAAGTCTGTCACATTGAGCTTCTGGGAAATAAGTGTCCTAAATTTTAAGATGGTCTTGTCTTTCTCCTAGATCTACCTGGATATGTGAGACCCGAAACTACTGTAGCTACCTTACTCCCAGTCTGAAAATGAAGCTGATGCCAGGGTGGGAACAGTGGGTGCAGTTGAGGAAACTGTAGAGAAAAAGGTTTAGAGTTGTGTCCACCTCACATTTAAAAAGTCTTTATGTTTGAATTGAGTTTCCTGTTACTATGATCTGTTTGAATTGTATTTCGTTTGCTCAGTCTGAAATCATTCTAAGTGGCTCATCCCTAATGAGTTCCTTTCTGGGCAAGTGTAGATCCACTGGAAGAGATGGTGATTCCCGTCAGGTTCCCAAGGCAGTCTGTCTTCTGTGTTAAGCAGAAGGACCAGACTCTATCAGCTTCTAGATGTTAGGCACCAATTTAGTATCATCAGATGCTCATCTTCTACTGTACTCCTATGTTTAAGTCAGATCAGGTTCTTTCAGGTGAGTTCTGTCCTCTGAGTGACATGAGTTTCTCCTACAGTTGTTATCAAATGACTCTCACAGGTCAGATGAGGAGATGAAGAGGGAGAGTGATCAGGATCAAAGAATTGCCTGAATTTGAGAGACCACAAGCAATTTGCTTAGTTTTGCTAAAAACAAGGCCTGGGATTTTCCAAACTAATGACATTCAAATTC